GCGTGTGGGGAGAAGTGGAAAGGGGGATTAATCCTGCTGGTACTGCCACGTTCAGCCTGATTACTGCATAAGACAAAGGCTCTCAAACTTTCTTGGTATGGCTACCATCTCATACACCCGCCAAGAAAGTGAGGGCTGGGGAAAGGTGCCGTTATGCTGATGAAGGATTCATACTTTACAGGTCGGTCCTCCTTAAATTCAATTCTTCTCACTCATGTAGGTTAGGTTAGGTAAGGTTCGTCAGGAAACAGGACGAGTATCTGTTTATCTTAGTTTATTTTAAGTTATTCAAGGTGTTACCTTCAATAACTCGATTTACCAGACTGTCCCGCTCGTCGACAACTGTACTCTTAAACAAGAACTCTCGTATATCCTTCCTAAATCTAAATCTCTTGTAATAAATTAATTATTTTCAGTAATCCTTGCTAATTTAAGCTAATATAGACACAAGACCCACCCACCTCTCAATTAAAAAATCAACGATAACAGATTTTTTTTAGATTTTGCCACCGAAGTGGCTAGTTTATTGTGCAACGATAACATGACAGTAATATTCCGGGTTTCTTCATCAGGGAAGACAAGTGGGATCAGCATATCATTACCATCACACACATGCGCTGTCTACACCAATATTTCTAATAGATAATACATATTAATATGCTTCAATTTCCCACAAAAAAATCTTCAACGTTTAGATTTCTTTTTCTATTATTTTGTGATCACTGGCAATTGTCAAATTTAATGGGAAACTATCACGAAATTCTCACGGTTTTATCTTTTTTTTTCTGTGAATTTCGGTCAAAATGCAATTTGATTATAACTTTTTTCTGTTAGACATACAGTTGAGAGATAATGCACTAGAGACTGCAGTCACTATCTTATTTTTTCCATTTTCTCTTATTTTTAATTGCCCTCCAGGCAGCAACCCTATGGTAGTGTTCTATGGTAGGCAATATTTTTTAACGTACCTTCGTACTGAACTACGCTCTCTCTCTCTCTCTCTCTCTCTCTCTCTCTCTCTCTATATATATATATATATATATATATATATATATTTTATATATATATATAATATATATATATATATATATATATATATATATATATATATATATATTTCCAACAAGTCGCCCGTCCCACCGAGGCAGGGTGACCCAAAAAGAAAGAAAATCCCCAAAAAGAAAATACTTTTATCATCATTCAACACTTTCACCACACTCACACATAATCACTGTTTTTGCAGAGGTGCTCAGAACACAACAGTTTAGAAGCATATACGTATCAAGATACACAACATATCCCTCCAAACTGCTAATATCCCAAAACCCCCCCTTTAGAGTGCAGGCATTGTACTTCCCATTTCCAGGACTCAAGTCCGGCTATATAAAAAAAAACCGGTTTGCCTGAATCCCTTCACTAAATATTACCCTGCTCACACTCCAACAGATCGTCAGGTCCCAAATACCATTCGTCTCCATTCACTCCTATCGAACACGCTCATGCACGCCTGCTGGAAGTCCAAGCCCCTCGTCCACAAAACCTCCCTTACCCCTTCCAACCTTTTCGAGGACGACCCCTACCCCGCCTTCCTTCTACAGATTACAAATGCTCTCCATGTCATTCTACTTTGATCCATTCTCTCTAAATGACCAAACCACCTCAACAACCCCTCTTCAGCCCTCTGACTAATACTTTTATTAACTCCACACCTTCTCCTAATTTCCACACTCCGAATTTTCTGCATAATATTTACATCACACATTGCCCTTAGACAGGACATCTCCACTGCCTCCAACCGCCTCCTCGCTGCTGCATTCACAACCCAAGCTTCACACCCATATAAGAGTGTTGGTACTACTATACTTTCATACATTCCCTTCTTTGCCTCCATAGATAACGTTTTTTGACTCCACATATACCTCAACGCACCACTCACCTTTTTCCCTTCATCAATTCTATGATTAACCTCATCCTTCATAAATCCATCCGCCGACACGTCAACTCCCAAGTATCTGAAAACATTCACTTCTTCCATACTACTCCTCCCCAATTTGATATCCAATTTTTCTTTATCTAAATCATTTGATACCCTCATCACTTTACTCTTTTCTATGTTCACTTTCAACTTTCTACCTTTACACACACTCCCAAACTCATCCACTAACCTATGCCATTTTTCTTTAGAATCTCCCATAAGCACAGTATCATCAGCAAAAATCAACTGTGTCAATTCCCATTTTGTATTTGATTCCCCATAATTTAATCCCACCCCTCTCCCGAACACCCTAGCATTTACTTCTTTTACGACCCCATCTATAAATATATTAAACAACCATGGTGACATTAAACATCCCTGCCTAAGACCTACTTTTACCGGGAAGCAGTCTCCCTCTCTTCTACACACCCTAACCTGAGCCTCACTATCCTCATAAAAACTCTTTACAGCATTTAGTAACTTACCACCTATTCCATATACTTGCAACATCTGCCACATTGCTCCCCTATCCACTCTATCATATGCCTTTTCTAAATCCATAAATGCAATAAAAACTTCCCTACCTTTATCTAAATACTGTTCACATATATGCTTCAATGTAAACACTTGATCTACACATCCCCTACCCACTCTGAAGCTTCCTTGCTCATCCGCAATCCTACATTCTGTCTTATCTCTAATTCTTTCAATAATAACCCTACCGTACACTTTTCCTGGTATACTCAATAAACTTATTCCTCTATAATTTTTACAATCTCTTTTGTCCCCCTTCCCTTTATATAAAGGGACTATACATGCTCTCCGCCAATCCCTAGGTACCTTCCCCTCTTTCATACATTTATTAAACAAAAGTACCAACCACTCCAACACTATATCCCCCCTGCTTTTAACATTTCTGTCATGATCCCATCAGTTCCAGCTGCTTTACCCCCTTTCATTCTCCGTAATGCCTCACGTATATATATATATGTATATATATATATATATATATATATATATATATATATATATATATATATATATATATATATATATATATATATATATATAGAGAGAGAGAGAGAGAGAGAGAGAGAAGAGAGAGAGATGTCTATGATTGAATGAATGGTGAATGTGTTTTCTTCTTTGGGTCACCGTGCCTTGGCGGGAGACGGCCGTTGAGTTATAAAACTTTCAAAACCCTTCTATAAAATAAATAAATATAATTAAAGATCACAGTGTAATTCAAAAATTTATTTATTTTTTTTCAAATACAGTGAAAAATTGAGGTCCAGACTCTCCTTTAACACAAAGGAGATATTTCTCTAAGGAACACAAGAGTTCATTCAATCTTAGGTTCGGTGCTCTGAGAGTGTTGCACGAAGTTCGTGATCAAGGATTATTATACATGACTTGCTCCTTCCCCACAAGCTGGGTCATTAAACATGATCTTATCCTTCCCCACAAGCTGGGTCATTGGCCATGACCTCCTTCTTCCCCACAAGCTGGGTCTCATTGGCCATGACCTCCTCCCTCCCCAAATGTTGAGTCACCTTCGCGTGTCAAGATTTTCTCTCTCTGGAGCAGTCTGTGGTCGACGAACCCTATATTACTTTTGCTTTAAGTAGCGGAAATATTTTGTTATTCGTCAAAATTTGGTGTTTTTTTTTTTAACTCCAATGGATTTAACTATTTTTCAAGAAGACCATAATACATTTTAGACAGAATTTCATGACGTACATGGTAAGTGTGAGTACTGAGAAGTTTGTCTTGATATTCCACCACATTTACCAGCTATTTCTGGATGTATTACTGGTTCACCTGGTGATGCTTCCGGAATCATGGCCCCCGCGCCCGGTCTCAGACCAGACTTCCTCATTCATGGCTTATCAATCAAGCTGTTGGTGTTCATTGGATGCAGTTCTACATAGGCTGCGCACACCGAAGAATAAATGATTTGAAGGAACTTTAAAAGTTTTTTTTTCTTGAAGGCCGCTAGATGGTAATTGCCTTTATGTCTAAAGGAAGGCTACTGAAAAGCCTTTGGATCTGCATGCTCTCTGAGCCATCTCTTACTGTACACTAACTCCGTATTCTAACCCACTAACATTGTCCGCTATCGTGACAGTTCCTTTATGTAGGATATCTTTCTTCTAACTCAAAATCTTAATCTCTTTTCCTTGCAATCAGTATTTCTATATTAACTTTATTCCTACCCAAAATCATTGTGTACAAATTGCCTCATAACTTCAACATCTTGGTACATAATCTATGTCAGACTCCATAATCATTTGGCAATGTTTCTCTCTTAGGATAATTAAGTTTAGATATAATAGCTATCCCTGTATATATATGTATCTAATATCTAAATCCAAATGTTTACCAGTCTTCAAATAACCCCATTAGTTATATTTTAAACCATAGAAATTATTTACATAAATACAAACTTTTGTGAGTTCATATTGGTGAGTGTTTATGTCGATGTGTGCTTATGTTGGTGAATGTTTATGTTGGTGTGTACTCACCTAATTGTGGTTGAAGGGGTCGATTCATGGCTCCTGGCCCCGCCTCTTCACTGGTCGCTACTAGGTCCACTTTCTCCCTGTTCCATGAGCTTGATCATACCTCTTCTTAAAGCTATGTATGGATCCTGCAGACTGTGTGGACTCTCTGGACTGTTCCACTTCCTGACAACTCTATGACTGAAGAAGCACTTCCTAACATCTCTGTGACTCATCTGTGTTTATGTTGGTGTGTTTATGTCGGTGTATGTTTATGTTGGTGCGCCTGTGTCGGTGTGTGTGTGTGTGTGTTTATGTTGGCGTATTTGACTCATGAAATCGTAATGACATGATTGCGGGTTCAAGCCCCGCCCGTGGTATGGTTTGGCGTATTTATGTAGGTGTGTGTTTACGTTGCTGTGTTTATGTTGGCGTGTGTTTATGTCGGTGTGTGTTTAATGTTGCTGTGTTTACGTTGGTGCAGCATTAAGAGAATTAGTGGGCGGGGCGCGTCTCACCCCAGGTTATATAAGAGGGTTCCGCAGTTGTATTTATCAACATTATCTCGGCGAGTGTCGTGACGGCAACATGAAGCTCTTCTTGCTGGTAGGTTGTGTGGTGATGGTGGCAGCGTAGGTGTGCTGGTAATGTGAGAGTGAGTGTGGTATTATTGGCAGGTTGAATATTGTATATCTACGCCAGGCCAACCTGTGTCTTGACGAATAGGTCTGTGTTATATATCTCAGTGCTTGAACCTCTTTTCTCCCCTATTGTGGTGGTACAGTCAGTGATAGAACCTCTTTCCTCCCCTGTTGTGGTGGTACAGTGACAGAACCTATTTCCTCCCCTATTGTTGTGGTACAGTCAGTGACAGAACCTCTTCCCTCCCCTGTTGTGGTGGTACAGTCAGTAACAGAACCTCTTCTCTCCCCTGTTGTGGTGGTATAGTCAGTGACAAAACCTCTTCCTTCTCCTGTTGTGGTGGTACAGTCAGTGATATAACCTCTTTTCTCCCCTATTGTGGTGCTACAGTAAGTGTTGGAACCTCTTTCCTCCCTTCTTTAGTGGTACAATCAGTTAAGTAAATCTAAATCTCAGTGACTGCATGTGGGTCAATATTTAAGGCAGGAATTCACCTGTACAATATAAGTATCAAGAGCACTTGAATGTATAAAATAAATATTAAAATAATCTGTCGAAGTGTACGCACACACACACACACACCATACGTAGTTTTAAGGCGAGGTATGATAAAGCTCATGGAGCAGGGAGAGAGAGGACCTAGTAGCAATCAGTGAAGAGGCGGGGCCAGGAGCTATGACTCGACCCCTGCAACCACAAATAGGTGAGTACAAATAGGTGAGTACACACGAAATCACTTGTAATTTTTTTTTTACTTGTCTAGCATGTATTCCAGTAATGTGTGTGTGTGTGTGTGTGTACTTATTTTCTGTACCCCCATGTGTGTGTGTATATGCTTGTGTGTTCTGTATTCAAATAAGTGTGTGTATGTGTGTGTGATGATAAGTGTATATTACGTATCACCATGACTGGGTTTGTAAGTTTGCATGATGTGTGGAAGACACGAATCATGACGATGGCAACGGTAACACAAAAGACAGTGTTCAGAATCTGATTACCACAGGTAAAGTGGCAACGAATGATTTTAAAAGCAGCATATCCATGACACAAATAAACGTGGTAGTAGTGTATAGAAAGGTGACAAGCTGGTTTTGCGATTCCCGGCTGGCTCTTCTTAATTTCTCTCTGATGAGTAAATTTTTCCTCCCTGGGCGGTAACGGCGCCTGTTGTGTACTCAGAAAGTGAAAACGCTTTCTAAAACCTTCAGACAGATGCTGGTACGCACGCATGCGTGGCCGCTGGCCTCGTAACCTTACAATAAGTTAGAAATATTCTTAATGTCGTGCAAATATATTTTAGCAAGTAACAGGTGCGGCCAGTTAATAGCAGGTGATCTTACATTTAGTTATGCTGATCTAATTTCTCTGTGGACATTAGACTTGTATCACAGATGAGTATAGTGTGATCATCTGGGAAGCCATGTGATGTACACAAAATATGTAATATCGTAGTAAGGAGTTAAGGTGAAAGGTGATAATGAAATAATAAAATGAGGTGTTGTGTGGTATGTAGGTAGTTTATTATATCTCATCCTGTTATTTCTTTTCCCTGTTTTCGGTTTCCTCTCAACTGAGAGTTAGGGGGTGGGGTGAAATGAAAAAGAAAGAGGGGGGGGGGAGTAGTAGAACTTATATCACCACCCACAATGGCGATATAAGAGTGCAACTTTTATCTTCCCATGGCTGTTTGATATCTACTTACGACTGCGTTGATGTCTCTTACCAATTCGCGCTAAAATTGCGATCTTGGAAATAGGGTTTGGACTAGAACAGCATTGAATGCACTCAAGTTATCTTTACTGCGGTTGATTCATAGCTCCTGGCTCCACCTCTCAACTCTTGTCGATTGGATTCACTGATTCCTGGCCTCCAGGACTTGATCTTATCTACTCTTGAAGCTGTGTATAGTGTTTGTGTCCATCACCTCTTTATGTAGTGTATTCTGCATATCTTCCTAAAAATTTAAAAAGTACTTCCTAACGTTCCTATCGCTCATATTCGTCTTGAAGGGTCCTTCCCTGCTTCTCAAAAGACCTCTCCTTATCTTCCCTTCCTAATACATGAGTATTTCGTGTATGTTGTGTTGCAGATGTGTAACATAATGTGTTGTGTTTTGTTGCAGCTGTGTGTAAGCGTGGTGGCTGGTAACCCACTCCGGGCCAGATCTTCCTCACCTTCTGTGTTTGATTATTATGACTTCGTAGAAATCCCTCGCACTCAAACTGCTGCAGCTCCAAGAGCTGACGGTCCGTTGTCGCCCCGTCGCCCTGGCCCACACCGTCGTCCTGGCCTACCCATTCGCGCTGGCCCGCCCCGTCGTAGGCCCCAGCCTATTCGTCAGGGAGCCCCGGATTATCAGCTGGCTAGTGCGGAGGTCCACCCACCCCAGTTCCGACAACAACCCCAATTTAGACCGAAGTTCAGGCCACAATATCAGAAGGAGGTACCCGTAATCTTCCGTGAAGAACCCGTTTTCGAGAAGCCTGTCTTCTCCAAACCGCAGTACCAGCAGGAGCCCATAATGTACGTGGAAGAGGTGGTAACTGGCAGACCTTTCGAGGTCATGGAAAGGCCTCAGCGTCACCAGGATGATCAGATGCATCGCCAACAGGGAGAACGACCTCCTCTGGATCATGACTACCCACTCTTTCGCCCTCCTCCCCCAAAGTTCCTCCAGAAAGAACGCCACCCGCAATCTGGACACCTGCAACAGAATGACGATATATATGAGGACTTCAGGCAGTATGAAGAACAATCTCAACAAGAAGAACGCCCCAAGTTTGAGCAGGAGCGCCTACAATACGATGAACGTCAACAGTTTGAAGATTCCCCCCAGTACGAAGAACGACCTCAGTTTGAGGAATATCCCAAGCATGAACAAGATCTTCCTGTGTATGAGGATGTACCCGAATACGAGGTAGACAGGCGACCACAACATCAGCAAGAGGCGCCACCAGTGTATGCGGAGCCAATAAAGAAGGACATCCGCAAACCTGCCATCAGCAACTATGTGCCCAAGACGAAAGTAAAGGAGGAGCAGGAGCCTGGGCTAGAGAAGAGACAAGTTATACATGGCGGTCACCTTGACCCCGCGGGAGAGCAGGTCAGTGGCATTTATTCCTTTCCAGTATTCATTTGGATCAGATACAATATGACCAATCATGTGGAACAGTAACTTAAGTAAAGCAAGGCGAACGGGGATAGGTATGGTGAGGCGAAGCGAAGGGTTATACGCTGCCAGAGCTTTATTTTTAGTATTACCTGCACGTCCATTAACATATATCCTCTTCTACTGTCATAATAAGCTTCAATTCTCAAACATCTTCTGCATCACTATTATTACCATATTCACTGGAAAGAGTTTAACTCTTAGGGATCACAGTACGCCTTTTTTTTTATATCACTATTCGTTCAATATATTAACGAGTTCTGCCCAGTTTTTCCAGTGACTTGTTGCCCCCCTCCCATTCACCTTGTGCTTCCCTATCACAATACATTTTGCCTCCTACTATACTAGGTACATGGTAGTGGCAGGTGAGACCTCCCACCACACTATGGGAATATTTTGTACATGGTAATGTGGAATAAGTGCGTGGTAGTGACTGGTGTTACATTACTATATACCCCCAGAAACATTTTGTACACAGTTCATGAACACTTCACTAATCATGCACCCCCCACATCACTATATCAGCTTCACATGGTGAGGGTCCGGATTCGATTCCCGGCGAAGGGGTGGAAACATGGACGTGTTTCCTTACACCGGTTGTCTATGTTTAACTATCAGTAAAATGTGTACCTGGGTGTTAGTCGACTGGTGTGGGTCGCATCCTGGGACAAAATTGACCTAATTTGCCCGAAATGCTCTGCATGACAAGCGGCTTTCTACATAGTAGTATGTCATTGATGTCAGCTAGGCCTGTATACCTTGTACATATACTTGTAGTAAATAAAGAAATTATATTTTATGTATCACTGTTTCATCGTACAGTTCGTGGTTGACGCGGCGGAGGCAGAGAGTGCGACAGGAGACGGCCGCTTGTCCTTCCAAATTCACGGCCAGCAGGGACCACACTCCTATCGCTTCGGCTACGACACCGGCAAGGGGTGAGTATCTTAATGGGGGGGGGGGGCTGATAATGATTACCCCTCTCTTATGCACCTCTTCTCTTTCTCTTGATAATTTCTGAATAATATGCACATATAATGATGTGTTAATCTTGCATATAAAAAGATTAATTGTTTATAAAAGCATTGCATAAGTTAAGAAGTGATGTATATATATATGTTCCGAGTGAAAGCTAAGTAAATATGCTGTCAAGTCTGGAGAGGATTATTATTATTATTATAATCAAGGGGGAAGCGCTAAACCCGTAGGATTATACAACGCCTGGATGGGGGGGTGGAAGGTATTCAGATTTAATTCAGAGAACTGGAGCACAGAACCAGTTCCCTAGATCAAGATTATTATTATTATAATCAAGGGGGAAGCGCTAAACCCGGAGGATTATACAGCGCCTGGGGAGGATGTGGAAGGCATTCAGGCTTAATTCAGGGAACTGGAGCACAGATCCAATTCCCTAAATCAAGAGCCCCTCACCAACATCAAGGAACCTTCCTTGAGGGGACCTAGATCAAGAGCCCCTTACCAGCATCAAGGAACCTTCCTTAAGGGGTTGAGAGGAGCAAGCCAAATCTAGTGTAAATATTTTATGAACAAGTGTTCACAATGCCAAACACCAAATAGCGATTTTCTCGTTCGTTCTCACATACCCTACTAGAGAAGAGCAGCAGAAATATTAACGTATAAGGAAAAGTACTGAACTAGATCAAAGAATAAGCAACGAGAAGACATACAAACAATTTATAAAAAGTACAGAATATATTACATAAAACAATTTAGAATAAATTACAGAACATATTACATACAAATAATTTCGAATATATTAATGAATATACTACATGCATAAAGGAAAAAATTGTTACTGAATACATTACACAGAACGAGAGAGAAGTACCAGGGAAGATATAACAACACACTACATGCTCAGAGAATAAGACTGTAAACAGGCACACTGTAACGAGAGGCATGAAGGAGGGAAGTGGAATGAACTGGGTGATAGATTAGATTAGATTTTGCCATCGAAGTGGCTAGTTTATTGTGCACCCTATATCCATCCTGTGGACGGTAGCGCAAGAGCATATGGATACACATTATTATTATTATTATAATCAAGGGGGAAGCGCTAAACCCGGAGGATTATACAGCATATGGATACACAAAAGGCCTAGGAACTAGCCCCCAAAAGGTTAACAGGTATACATATGGGTTTATATCTACATATCTACAGTTCACTTATCTGTTACAAGCAAATTTAGGAAATTTGCTTAGTATATCTGGTATCTTATTTTCATTAATAAGATATCTTGACATGTCACATAGGTTATTATACTGTGTCTCTGTATTCCTCAATAAGTGGACAATTAAGCACAAAGTGTTCAAGACATTGACCATATGCCTGATCACATAATTTGCATTTAGTTTGATCATCATCTGTGTCTCCCCCAAACTGCCAGAAGTACTTGTAACCAAGCCTAAGAGGGATGTGCGAAGGTTAAAAAGTGAGTGAGAGGTAGGGGTGTATAAAGTTAGGGGGTTGTGGGGGTGGGGGTTAAAAAGGTCACTACACATCTCAGGCTAGGTCACACCATGGAGAAGACCCAGCAAATCAGATCCACATTCCAGCTCTTGAAATCATCAGGAGAGGAACCTCCATGTACACTAACTGCCCCCTTCAAGGCAGGCAAAATTGCTGACCTGGAGAGTGTACAAAGAACTTTCACGACACACACAAGTACGATAAAGAATCTAAATCACTGGGAACAGTTGAAGGCCCTTGATTTGTATTCCCTGGAATGCAGGCGAGAGATACATGATAATATACACTTGGAAAATCCTAAAGGGATTAGTACCAAACTTGCATGCAAAAATCACTCCCTATGAAAGCAAAAGATTCGGCAGGAGATAGAATATTCCCCAGTGAAAAGCTGGAGTGCCAAGAGTACAATGAGAGGCAACACAGTAAGTGTCAGGGGCCAAAGACTGTTCAACTGCCTCCCAGTATACATAAAAGGGATTACCAATAGACCACTGGCTGTCTTCAAGAAGGCACTGGACAGGCACCTAAGACAGTACCTGACTAGCAGGGCTGTGGTTCGTACATCAGTTTGTGTGTAGCCAGCAGTAACAGCCTAGTTGATCAGACCCTGATCCACCATGAGGCCTGGTCTCAGATAGGGCTGTGGGGGCGTTGACCCCTAAAATCCTCTCCAGGTATCCTTAACAACATAATTCACAGCCAGACTGTATCTCCCTTAAGGTGTGAATCTCAGTGATGAAGAATAAGTCGAATAATAATTAAAAAAAAAATGTTTATCTATACATGCGTATTGTATGGCCTGAGTATTATTACGATCATAGAGGCTTAGCATATGCAGTAGGAGTGCAGGCTAAAAAAACAGTCTGTAAAACCATACTCAGAAACTGGCACATTGATGGATTATTATTATTATAATCAAAAAGAAGCGCTAAGCCACAAGGACTATACAGCGGCACATTGATGGAGAGTCCGATGACCTGCATTGCCCCCCCCCCCCACCAAAAAAAAGAGCAGTGACACAAGACCTTTAAATTAATGAACAGCAAGATGGAAACTCGCCTGAATGCTTTTAAAATCACTTTAGGAAAAGCTTTAATTCAGTGGGGTCATACAGTGCCAGTGAAAAAGGTTAGATTTGATGCAAAGGAAGGGCAGCTCCAATTCCTTGGATCAAGCACATTTTTACCTTCACCATAGTACTTCCCATGCAGGGCTTGCTATGCAGAGCATTTGGCATTGGTCCCTGCTGAAGGCAGAGGATGAATAAGACACACATATTATTATTATTATTATAATCAAGGGGGAAGCGCTAAACCCGGAGGATTATACAGCGCATGGGGGGGGATGTGGAAGGCATTCAGGCTTAATTCGGGGAACTGGAGCACAGATCCAATTCCCTAAATCAAGAGCCCCTCACCAACAGCAAGGAACCTTCCTTGAGGGGAAGACACACATAGTACTTGGCTATCATTATTAGCCAAACATTTTGCCTGCATAGCAGGTTTCCTCATTGGAGCATACAGGTGAATACAACACTGGAGACAGTAAAAGTAATTTTGAGACGGTCACTCCCTCAGAGGGACTGACCACCTATCGAGGCTGAGGACCAGTCATCTCAAAATTACCGTTTCCAGTGTGATTTGACTGAAGACTGCCACTCAAGTGAAACTTTTCAATAATAAAGATACCTGGGTGTTGCCTAAGTTTTATTCATCAACTTGTCAGTACTGTATACTATCAATAATAGATGAAGGAAGAGGGCCATCACTTCTCAGAACCAGGTGGGAAACTCCTAAACCTCGGGTCTAGTTTTTTTGGATCAAAAGTCCAAGAAATAATCTTCCCAGGTGAAGTACTAGATCACTTCTAAGTTAAGCCCAAGAAACGATCTTCCCAGGTTAGGCACGAGAAGATCAATTCTAGGATACACGAAATATTTCCCTAAGGTGATTCGGGAATTACGCTACATTTACTAAACCCATAAGAGTCATACAGGGCCTGGGAGGTAATCAGGCTTAGACCAATGAATTAGATAGTAACTCCACTTCTTTGCATCAGCAGCCCTTTATTAGCATCATGGCATATCCTTTCTTTGAAGGGGGGGGAGGGTTGAGGAGGCTTGCCCACTTGATGGATCCCATGTTTTCCCTCCTACCCAGGTCCCTCAAAATAAAAAGCCCCCTCAACAAAGATGCCTTGATGTTGGTTAGGGATCCTTGATCCAAGGAACTGTACTTATCATTCCCTTCCCTGAATATAACCTAAATGTCTCCCATTTCCCAGGTGCTATATGATCCTTACCAGTTAGCATCTTCCTCTATATGCTGGATTCTAGGCTGAGGGACTGGTTCCCTCATCTTCCACTGTCCTGTATATTGTTCTGCAAGGCTGAAGAACCAATCACCTCACCTACTGTTCTCCATATTTTCTCCAAATGAGTTGATTAATCCACCACAAGGTTGCCTACATGCTTTAAAAATTAATGGAAATATGTTCCTCCTCAGGTACAACCGGCAGTTCCGGTATGAAGAAAGGGATGGGGTTGGTCAGGTCCATGGTCGTTATGGTTTCTATGACAAAGATGGAAAACTTCAAGTGGTAAACTATTCTGCCCATCCTGACCATGGATTCTCTGCTGATGTTCCTCATTAGGCTCCTGCTTCTACTCTGCCTAGTTTGACTCTTGTGACAATTGCCATCAGATTGCTTCCTGACCATAAGTGCAAATTAAAACTAGCTTAGTTGAGGCACACAAGACATGATGGAAATCTCACCAGCACACTACCTCGATCTTCATTTTAATTTGCAGCCAAGAGGGTTGCTCTTTCCAAGTTTAACAAGAATTGGCCACTGTCATATAGAAGAATCTCTTTATACATATTTAAAGTTTTAAAACCCTGTTAAAGAACTAGACACTACCTTTTATCTTATCTTTGGGAAATGTGATTTCCATGATAACTATGTTGACTTTTCCAATGTCATGATAACTTCCCACACAATAAAATCTTGTTAACAGTTTTGGAGCTCACGTTTTGTACTTACACAGTACTGTAACATAGTGGATGATAATATTTACAGCGCAAAAGTGTCTAGTCAATTAGGTGTGATGATTTGGGAATGAATTTTCATCACATCAACTCAGAATATTTCATTTGGAAGGGATACAGAACAGTTCTATAACTATGACAAAACTCCTTTCTTGATAACAAAGCATGTACATTATGTTCAGCATATGTACAATCATCTTCAGTGAGTCTTAATTTTGTACAACTAGTTTGTTTTCATTATTTACATAAACCCTGCCAAAACCCTTTCCTTGTACAATCCTGCTTTACATTTTAACAAGCTTTCTTCACTATAGGCAAACATATCTTATATTTATATACCAGTACAGTATTCAGTGTTTGTGAATACATACTCTAACAGTTGTTAGTTTTTATAACTTAATTTTTAACATTTATTGTTTATATTTTATCATTAAGGTTACATTTTCTACTGATATTATACAGGGCTGGAACCTGTTTTTTTATATATTAAAGATGAAATGAATATTTTGTTATGATAAACCTGTATAATGTATTGTAATGAAATGGTTCCTAAATTTTTCTCCTACAACTCCAAACTGAACACTCACAGGACTTGCCAAAAGTGTGCTGATATCACACTTCAGATAATTATTATGAACTCTAAGATAAGTCATAACATACAACTGTGAATGAATAAACAGAAGAATGAACAGTCATTCAACACAACTTGAGTTCACATACTATGTAGTTCTGAGAGGTGTGAGAACACACATATACTATGAAAGTTCCTGTGGCTGTGGAAAGGGACAATTAGGTCACAGATGAAGAAGATATGTTCCAGAAGCACTGTCTGTGAAACCTTCCTATCAAAATAATATAATTATTTTATGCACTAAAACCAAGAGGGTCATACATAACTGCAGGAATGATGTGGGAAAGGAGGAATATGCAGAGGTGATAAGAGAGCGAAGGGCAGGAATGTGCAAGGATTAGTGGGGGGGGGGGGAGGAGTAAAAATAAAATCACAATTTGTGCAACAAATAAGTTTTTCTATGAGGTGTCTGCGAGTGAGGCATGTAGCCAATGCACAGACAGGAGACTGCAGTCTTCCAAACACAACAGTGGTGGAAAGATGGCGGCAATAAAACAATGTGGTTTGACAGAAAATAATTTGTTGTGGATCAACCTAGACTAACACTGTTACCACTGACTTTCCTATCAAAACCTTGTCAATCAGTGGTGCAGCAATGGATTTTTTATGTGCCAGGACCACCGTTCAAGGCCCATTTCCATTCTTAAGTTTAATTATGTTAATGTGACATACTAAACTTGTGGGCATCATTTAGCACTAAATGATAAAAGGGGTGGCTGACATTACAGTACCAAGAGTAAATACAAAAGCAAATGTTTCTCAAAACAGGTATAGTAAGACAGTTTAAATTAAAGACAAAACATTTTTATACTATACATTACCATATACTTTCAGTCAATTATATTTTTCAGGGTTTAACACTTTGTGCAGAGAGGCAGACACATACCTCCTGAAGCTGCCCTTGTAAACTTACTGCTAAGTAAACAGAGGCAGCAAGTGTAAAAAAACATACCCAAAGCTTCACCCATGCCAGGAATCGACCCCAGACCCTAAGTCAATGAACTGAGGACACTACCAACCAAGCCATGGGCACACAATTAAACTGATAGATATGTACCAAGATGGATATTTTTTTATTTTTTTATTATCACACTGGCCGATTCCCACCAAGGCAGGGTGGCCCGAAAAAGACAAACTTTCACCATCATTCACTCCATCACTGTCTTGCCAGAAGGGTGCTTTACACTACAGTTTTTAAACTGCAACATTAATACCCCTCCTTCAGAGTGCAGGCACTGTACTTCCCATCTCCAGGACTCAAATCCGGCCTGCCGGTTTCCCTGAACCCCTTCATAAATGTTACTTTGCTCACACTCCAACAGCACGTCAAGTATTAAAAACCATTTGTCTCCATTCACTCCTATCAAACACGCTCACGCATGCCTGCTGGAAGTCCAAGCCCCTCGCACACAAAACCTCCTTTACCCCTTCTCTCCAACCTTTCCTAGGCCGACCCCTACCCCCCTTCCTTCCACTACAGACTGATACACTCTTGAAGTCATTCTGTTTCGCTCCATTCTCTCTACATGTCCGAACCACCTCAACAACCCTTCCTCAGCCCTCTGGACAACGTTTTGGTAATCCCGCACCTCCTCCTAACTTCCAAACTACGAATTCTCTGCATTATATTCACACCACACATTGCCTCAGACATGACATCTCCACTGCCTCCAGCCTTCTCCTCGCTGCAACATTCATCACCCATGCTTCACACCCATATAAGAGCGTTGGTAAAACTATACTCTCATACATTCCCCTCTTTGCCTCAAGGACAAAGTTCTTTGTCTCCACAGACTCCTAAGTGCACCACTCACTCTTTTCCCCTCATCAATTCTATGATTCACCTCATCTTTCATAGACCCATCCGCTGACACGTCCACTCCCAAATATCTGAATACATTCACCTCCTCCATACTCTCTCCCTCCAATCTGATATTCAATCTTTCATCACCTAATCTTTTTGTTATCCTCATAACCTTACTCTTTCCTGTATTCACCTTTAATTTTCTTCTTTGCACACCCTACCAAATTCATCCACCAATCTCTGCAACTTCTCTTCAGAATCTCCCAAGAGCACAGTGTCATCAGCAAAGAGCAGCTGTGACAACTCCCACTTTGTGTGTGATTCTTTATCTTTTAACTCCATGCCTCTTGCCAAGACCCGCGCATTTACTTCTCTTACAACCCCATCTATAAATATATTAAACAACCACGGTGACATCACACATCCTTGTCTAAGGCCTACTTTTACTGGGAAATAATTTCCCTCTTTCCTACATACTCTAACTTGAGCCTCACTATCCTCATAAAAACTCTTCACTGCTTTCAGTAACCTACCTCCTACACCATACACTTGCAACATCTGCCACATTGCCCCCCTATCCACCCTGTCATATGCCTTTTCCAAATCCATAAATGCCACAAAGACCTCTTTAGCCTTATCTAAATACTGTTCCTTATATGTTTCACTGTAAACACCGGTCCACACACCCCCTACCTTTTAAACCCCTTTTTTCCCGAATAATAGGAAGACAGTAGAACTATATACAAAAGATGAGGTAATCAGTCCGCGGCCTTGGAGTCTGGTGTTCACAGGCTTCGTGGTGGAGGAGAGGTCTGGGCAAAGGCTAGAAGACTGGCGCTTTTTATAGGGCTGTCAGGGTTTGGGACGGGCAGCAGAACGAGGTCAGACACTGGTAGGCGGATTCCCAGTTGGACGTTGGTCCTTCCCAAAGAGATGGGTTATCTGCAGCAGCCGTGAAGAAGGTTCTTGTAGATGTTTCCTCGAAACCAGATTCCATGATGTTGCTGTGTCTGACAGTTGTGCAAAGAAATGTATAAAATACCGGACAATATGAAAAGTTAAGACTCATGTGTTTTATTTCAACATCTGGATATCTTATTGTAGTAGAAGTTTCGCCATTACAGTGGGCTTTTATCAATACAGAATTCTAGGACATAATAGGAAGACTGTAGAAACTATTATACAAAGATGAGGTAATCAGTCCCTCGGCCTTGGCTAGTCAGTGTTCACAGCATCGTGGTGGAGGGAGTGTCTGGAGAACAAAAGGCAAGAAGGAACTGGCGCTTTTTATAGGCGTCAGTGAAAGGGCCGGGCACAGCGCAGACGAGGTCCGTCACGGTAGGCGGGAGTCCACCAGTGGAAGTGGTACCTTCACCAAAGAGATGGGTTTGTTGCAAGCAGCAGTGAAGAAGGTCTTGTAGATGTCCTCTGAACCAGATTCCATGATGTGCAGTGTCTGACAAGTTGTGCAAAAGAAAGGTATTAAAATACGACAATATGAAAGTTAAGACAAATGGGCAACATCTGGATATCTTTATTTTGTAGTAGACGTTTCGCCATCCAGTGGCTTTATCAATACAGATTCTAGGACATAATTGGAAGACAGTTTGAACTATATACAAAAGATGAGGTAATAGCCTCGACTTGGAGTCAGGGATCACAGCATCGTGGTGGAGGAGTGTCTGGAGGCAAAGGCAAGAAGACTGGCGCTTTTTATAGGCGTCAGTGAATGGGGCGGGCAGCAGACGAGGTCAGTCACTGGGTAGGCGGGATTTCCCAGTGGAAGTAGGTCCTTCCCAAAGAGATGCGTTAAGTTGCAAGCAGCCGTGAAGAAGGTCTGTGATGTCCTCTGAACCACTGATTCATGATGTTGCAGTGTCTGAAGTTGTTGCAAAGAAAGTATAAAAATACCGACAATATGGAAGTTAAGAACTTGTGCAACATATGGATATCTTTATTGTAGTAGGACGTTTTCGCATCCAGTGGCTTTATCAATACAGATTCAGGACTAATAGGTAGAAAGTAGAAATATATACAAAAGTTGAGGTAATCAGTCCCTCGGCTGGAGTCCGTGTTCACAGAATCGTGGTGGAGGAGAGTTGGAGCAAAGGCAAGAAGACTGGCGCTTTTTATAGGCGTCAGTGAATGGGACGGGCAGCAGAGAGGTCAGTCACTGGTAGGCGGGTTTCCCCAGTGGAGTAGGTCTTCCCAAAGAGATGGGGTTAGTTGCCAGCAGCCGTGAAGAAGGTTCTTGTAGATTGTCCTCTGGAACCAAGATTCCATGATGTTGCGTGTTCTGACAAGTTGTGCAAAGAAGGTATAAAATTACGACAATATGAAAGTTAAGACACATGTTGCAAAAATCTGGGATATCTTTATTGTATTAGAGTTTCGCCATCAAGTGGCTTTATCAATACAGTTTCTAGGGACATAATAGGAAGAGCAGTAGAAACTATTTACAATGATGAGGTATCAGTCCCCGGCCTTGGTGTCAGTGTTCACAGCATTAGTGGTGGAGGAGAGTCTGGAGCAAAGGCAAGAAGACTGGGCTTTTTATAGGCGTCAGTGAATGAGGACGGGCAGCCTGTCGAGGTCAGTACCCTGGTAGGCGGGAATTCCCCAGTGGAAGTAGGTCCTACCAAAGAGAGATGGGTTGTTGCAGCAGGCGTGAAGAAGGTCTTTTAGATGTCCTCTGTAACCAAGATTCCATGATGCTGCAGTGCTGACAAGTTGGCAAAGAAAGGTATAAAATACCGACAATATGAAAGTTAAGACACTCGTGCAACATCGGTTATCCTTATTGTAGTAGACGTTTCGCATCACAGTGGCTTTATCAAATACAGATTCTAGGACTAATAGGAAGACTGTATAACTATATTACAAATGAGGAGGTAAATCAGTCCCTCGGCCTTGGTGTCAGTGTTCACAGCATCTTGGTGGAGGAGAGTCTGGAGCAAGGACAAGAAGACGGCGCTTTTTATAGGCTTCCAGTGAATGGGACGGGCAGCAGACGAGGTCAGTCACTGGTAGGCGGGATTCCCCAGTGGAAGTAGGTCCTTCCCAAAGAGAGGGTTAGTTGAACCGCAGTCCGTGAAGAAGTTCTTGTAGATGTCCTCGAACCAAGATTACATGATGTGCAGTGTCTGACATGTTGTGCAAGAAAAGTTATAAAATTTTACGACAATAGAAGTTAAGA